TAAAGGCATCTTTTATGTTTTTGGTTTAAACGTATTTATTCAACAAAACATTAACAACATACAAAGTACATTTTGGCATTGGGCAGAAAGCTATGAAGCTTATGAGTGTCCTCTTTTATGTGTTTGTTAAAAGCTATTTCATATAGTTTTATACTTTTTACCTTAAACAAACTCGGATTTTTTTATGAACTTCTGTTACATTTTTATGTAGGGCGATGCTCTTTTTGCCCTATGCAGATTGCGCATTCGCGAGAAAATACTTCTTCCGACAACGGACCGCGTCGTAAAAAGGGCTATAGGATTAGTACATTAGTGCACAGATATAAGCTCCATGATTAAGTTCCATGATTAGTGTTTTGGCATAATGTAATAAAGTTGTAATGAGATGGTACAGGGCACGCTTTTTTTTTAACTGAAACGTTACACACCTTTTATGTCCTTTTCAAACGAATCTAAAAAAATAATTATCTGAAATTTTATTCTTATAAATAATGTAACTTTTGTCTAATGTCAAGTAATATGAGAATAATTATTAATTTATTTAAAACAAAGGAACACTATGAGGTTAATGACGCATTCTTCGAATAAAATCCATTCAAATTTTAAGCCTTTTTTATATGTTTATAAAGACTTTAAATAATGGTAGATATTGAGGTGTAACAAAATTTTATTTACATTCTAAGATGCAATTTTTATGTTTCATCAGAGATAGAAGTTTCATTAAATTCGGTTTCAAATATGTTTCTACCATTATCAGTTTCAAAAATACAAATATGAGACATTTTTTTGCCTATTTTTTTATTAGGAAAGTCTTTCTTTCTTTTTATAATAAGACCTGTATGTTAATTGTTATTCTCCATGTTTCGGACACTTGAGATACAAAAGAAAAATAAACATAAACACTTTTTTGATTTCTTCCTGGTTGATGTGCGTCAGATTTCAATGGTTTGGTTTTGTTATTACATAAAAGAAACAATCAAATTACACATTTTTCTGTATAAGATATTAGGTTTACGATGGAAAAGAAAAAATGGGAACAGAACTTCTACATGTATGTTTTGCAACATAATTTTGTTTTTGTAAATCTTTAGGCAAATAAATTTTGTACATACGATACCTGATTAATTTCCACCACAAATATTTCAAATTATTTTTATATTTCTGCCTGTCGTTGTTTTGATGCAATAAAAAAAATATTATAAAAAATATGAGGTCTGTCATTGCAATGAATAACCTTCAGAAAAAGAAGTCAGATATTTTTTCACTTCCGTTATCAAAATTACCTTTAAAATAAAAAGGTCAAGTATTTACCGTGGTATATTACAACTAAACTAAGCATTATATCTGAATTTACAACAACATGTTGGTATATACGTCGGTAAAATCATATACATGTATACCTCTTTATATGATTGAAAACTGAATTTTTATGACGACATCCTAGAATGTTTTTTTTTCAATCTGTTTATCGCAGAAATTAATAAATTCCAAAATCTCTAAGGTAATCTAGTACCGAAACTAGTATACTTTATTCTTCAACTCGAAAAGTATCAGAACCAATGTTGCGAAGGACCAGAAAAACATGGTATCTGTGAGATGAAGAGCGGGTAAACAATCATACAGCTATGTGAAAAATAAACAAAGAACAAAAAGCACCAGCAGGACATTTGGTCGTCTGCTGTCCACAACAGCGTCTACCATCAGCAATATTTCAAAGAATATGTTTCTTTTCATTTAGTTACATTTTAGAGCATATGGATTTTTCTCTATCTAACGACATGCTTTATGACCAATCAATAACAAAGATGCTTAATCAAAAACAATTACTGTTAACGTTACTGTCATTTGATGGACCAATTTATATCAATGAAACAATGTTTCAATATTTTTATAAATCGGATTACATTTATAAACTGGTTTTAATCATTAAGAAGCAAAAAATTGATCATTTTGTGTTTTGTTTTGAAGAATGTAAGAATACACATAATGTGAGTAATACAAGTTTTTCCAGTTTAATCTTTGAAACTCGGGCGAAAGTGGCACGCTATTTGTTATTTGGATTTTGATTGAATTATAAAAACAACTCATGAAAACATAATTCAGCCTTTTTTATCATGATAGGAAGTTACTTTGTCGATATATTTCGAATTTTTGTTTATTTTATAAACGGTAAAGTTATGACTGTTTCACAAAGTATTCAACACCGGTTATAACTATACTTTTTTGCCATGGTTCAGTTGTTCACATATCTAATTGTCCTTGCAAATGATGACCCATTAACTGCTATATGTTTTCAAGACTCACCGAATAATTTAAGATTATTTAATAGTAGTTACTTTTCTATGTCAATAAAGTAAAACTGTTATTTTTACACAAGACGAGTCTGCCTAATGTATATACATTTGTGAAACAATGAGTTTTTGTTTTACCAGTATAACAAAAAACTATCACTTTAAAAAGCAAATTTAATTAGGCTGATAAAACAAACGCAATAGCTTTAATATTTAGTGAAGCAATAAATTACACTTGCAATTTATTTTTGCGCAATCATTTTGGCCCATTAAAAATATATATCATATTAGAGAATGATTGCGTTTTATTGTTTTTCTAAACTTTACTTTTTCATGCGATATATTTCAGTTATTTCATGAATAAATAGATGATTTATACACATAAAAGCATGTTATAAAAAGACTTGCAAGCTGATATAGTAAAAGAATAAGGGCAAGACGGAATTAATACGACATAAGTTTTCAAAAAAGAAATGTGATATATTTTGTAAATATTCAATTTACTGTACATGTATTTGAAAGAAAAATAATAATAAAGGAATGTTGTAATATAAGTACATAATATAAGTTGCGATAGATTTATGCATTGGTTTGCTGGGACGATATGAATTGTAGAACACATATCGTTACTATTCTTCACGATTTCAAATGAAAAGAAAATGAAATGAAAGTTGCTAAATTAGAAAAGATTAACCTACTAATAACTACGAGGCAAAATATGGAACAGGGTCTTATGTACCCTCGCCAACTGTGCTACAAACGCCAAGTTGCATATATGACATAGTTTTGTGTATAAAGTAAATAAAATGTCATTAAAGTTTACATAATGCCAGACAGCATAGTATATTTCACTAAAAAAGCGACTGTTTTGAGTAAGTTCTTTCATAAAATCTTAGCATAAACCAATACAACGTGGCTATTTTGACATTCTTCAATTCTTATGTAATTTTGTTGTGATTAATGCTTCCGAGGGATTACTTGGTTTCCAGATTTTTATACTTCACAAGAGCAGGCGTCAAGTGCCGTGTTGTAAAAAGTTGCCCCGTACTTCATTTCAGTGTTGTTATATTTTTCTGGTCCTTCGGGATCATTGATGTCAGCACTATTTGTGTTGAGAATTGAGTACCGCTCAAGCCGGTGCGAAGGGGCGTGAGGGATGTTGCACGTATTCATTAGCCCTCATATAAAGACTCAATCAAACCGATGTAATTTTGTTGTGATTAATGCTTCCGAGGGATCACTTTGTTTCCAGAATTTTATACAGAAAATTGGAACATGTCACAGAAGTAATAGTCAAGATTTTAAAGTGTAAGAGTAGTCGAATAGGTACTAATACTCGGGAATACGAAACAACATGTTATACCGATATTTTTACAGTTTATTACTATCTAATGAAAAACAGTAGCTCTATAAAAGTAATCGTCTTGGTGTGAAAAAAAGAACAACATTTTGAGTGCTTGTTATCATAAGGTTTTATTAATTAAGACACTTATGGTTGTGGGAAAGATCCAGTATTCCCCATTCATATCAAGTACGTTGTCCTTCTGAATCAACATCAGTAATCATGATTGTCGAACTTCCTTTTTTTCCGCAAAGCAGCGAGTCTGGCAGAGGAAACTGCCTCCAACAAATGAGCTTTTGATTTGGTGCTGTATGTATATAATTTTTCTGCGTTTTTATCAGACGGTTTTACATCTCGTAGCGTATGACACAATATTCAAACGTTAGTACGAAATTCGTTAAAAGTTGTAATAAGATACAAACATAATATGTCGGATTTTTTCGCGTCAAACATTGCTGCCGAACAGGGGGATCCAAGTTTAAATAATATTCTTTGTAATAATCTATAACATAAAATCAATAATGTCATAGACGGACTTTTTACATTAAATGAGATTTAATTGTTCATTCTGTTTTTTGCTGACGATGCTGTTTTATTCGTGCATGAATTGGAAGTACTTAACCAATGTTAAATGATCTACAAACATATTGCAAAACATTGAGGTTTAAAAGTCAACATTAATAAAACTAAATACTTGATAGATACAGGACTAATGATTTTATTATATACATGTATAATATGGTTTTAGAAAATGTTAAATTATAAACAACACAATATGCGAGGTAAGCATCTAAACTATCGCCGTTTTACTCCAGATTTACAATCTCTTTTGACAAATTCATACTTAGCTCTCGGCTTTGCCGTATTCAAATGAACGTGATAACTAGCATGGCTATAGTCGGAACCCTAAGGAATATGCTGGTACTTACACATTTGATTACGGGTTATTTTGATGTTTATTTCGCATATTCTGTTGTGAAGCTAAACATTGACAATGTTCGTTAACAATAATATGTACTGCTTCGATTGACAAAACAATTGTGTGAAAACGCTGGAAATGGAATAAAATGCAAGGTGATTTTGAGGGCAGGTATGCTCATTTTTACAAGCAAACATTTTATCACGTGTATAATTATAGTTGTTAAATTTCAAAACAGCTTAAAATAAGTTTTATTGATATATATGTTAAGTGTATGTGCTGGGATTGACATTGATATTATATATATATATTGATATATAATTATTTCAAGGCCTCTGGAGCTTCACACCCCAAGTGTGTGTTTTACACATGCTATAGTAAGCCATTTATAAAAGTCATTTTCATGTATTCATGTAGTATTAGTACGGGTTATAAATGCATATAAATGTAACATTTTGCAGGATGTTTAATTCATACTGCGTTATACCTTGTCATAAAATAATTAGGTATGTTTGTCCTCCAAAGTGCAAACTCTACAAACTATATAAGGAACATGTTGTAGCATTTTAACACGCAAAACATAAACACTTGCAGCACAACCGCAGTACTTGAAAGCACATTGGTGAACGGTTTCACATTTGCAGCATTTACTCCACTCCCGTCTTTCTTCTCTGGTGGTGCTGGTTCTACTTGTAGAGAAGTGTCGGTACAGTTGTAGTCGATGCAAAGACTTAATTTTATAAACTCCATCTCCTCCGTTATATTTAAGCGAACATCGCCATTTTCAATGGATTTAGCCACGCTTATCGCCTCCGCTGACACATTAGCTTGTAGACTATCGTTGGCGTTAAGGTCAAATTCGGATTTTGCAGTAATCAGTATGTTGACGTAAACAGTGTCAGTGGCATTGTCAGCAGCACGTTTTTTACGATTCGAACTTTCCAGAGTTGGGTACCCGAAAAAACTTATTCCTCTCCTGTACCAGTCCATTTTGTTTGCAATTTGATCTGCAATATTATTCGCAAAGTTATTAAGGTTTCTCAGAACCGATTCATTTGCTCGTCGAAATATCAACTGTATCTTCTCCATTCCAGCTGATAGTATATCAGCACCACAGGCCAAAACAACATCAAGCATCTGTTTTAAGGTTGCCGGCGCGTCTTGAATAAGCGCGCCTTTTACAGTCCAAAATATACGAGCCCAGTTACCCACACCAATATTACAGATGGATGGCTTTCCAAAATCCGGATGAAGATAGCATCCAGAGTGAGAATCAAAGGCCTGTTGCCTGATACTCTCGCATGTTGCCATTACAAAAGGTCTAAGGATGGGTACAAGTTTGACTTGTAGACATTTCCTTACAGCATCGATCCATTCTCGACCAATGGAGTTAAATTCTTGGTAATGATCTTGGTATAAATTGCAAAATTTCTCTGCATAATCAAGGGCATACGAGTTGCCATGCTCTTTACAAGGATAGCGTTTCTGAAAAAAAAAAACATATTAATATAATCTCATTCTGTTTTATTCCCGTTCCCCTTAGTGCCTTAGTGTATTTACTGATTCGTTTATGTTAGAAACATGACATTACATTATACCTTACACATATGTGACCCTTTTTATTTATGTCATTTTTAGCCAGCCCGTATAGCTCACTCGGTATGAGGTCGAGACTTGTAATATCGACATTGTGGCTTCGATTTCCGTGCTAACCAACTAAAATTACTAAGCAGTCTTTCGGATGAGACTTTCAATCGAGGTCGCATGTTTGAATGCTTAAACACATGGCACGCTAAAGAACCAGGTAGAGCTAATGAAATTGTTGCATCTTTGAGTATCTGTATCTTGCACTGTCCTTCAAAAATCTAAAATGACTAATACTCTTCTGGAGGACTCGCCCATATGGGCAACCGGTGGCAGGTATAAACAACATGATGGCCCTGAAATCGCTCACCTGTATATAGGCCCTTGGGGCGGGGCTAATTTTAACCCAGGGGCTTTTTTAAACCAACTTGGTAGACACCCTTTAGAAGATGTTTCTTGATAAATATTTAAGCTCTAGCTCTTTGGGGTTTGTAAAAGAAGATTTATAAAAATTATACTATAGACATTTAAGAAAAATCAGACCCCAGGGCGGGGCCAAGTTAACCCTGGGGCTTTTATTATAACAAATTTGATAGACAGTCACTAGAAGATATGTTTAATGTTCAATATCTTTGCTTTAGCTCTATGGGTTTCTTAAAAGAAGATTTTTTTAAAGTTTTTACTATAGACATATAAGGAAAAGCAGTACAGTACCCCGGGGCGGGGTCAATTTTGATCCAAGGTCTTTCATTTTAACAAACTTGGTAGACACTCACTAGAAGATGTTTCATGCTTAATATCTAAGCTGTAACTCTTTGGGTTTTTTAAAATAAGATTTTTTAAGTTTTTACTATATACAAATAAGGAAAATCAATGACCCTCCCCCGGGTGAGGCAAATTTTGACCCCAGGGCTTTAATTTGAACAAACTTGATAGACACTCACTAGAAGATGTTTCATGCCAAATATTTAAGCTCTAGCTCTGTCAGTTTTTTAAAAAAAAGATTTTTTAAGTTTTTACTATAAACATATAAGGATAATCAATGACCCCCGGGGCGGGGCCAATTTTGACCTCAGGGCTTTTGAACAAACTTTGTAGACACTCATCAGAAAATGTTTCATGCCAAATATCTAAGCTCTAGCTCTTTCGGGTTTTTTAAAAGAATTTTCTATCGGTTGCCATGGCAACCAGAGTTCTGCATGGAATTAAAATCTTTGAACACCTTTTAAAGGTGACCACCAAAGGACCATTCCTGTGAAGTTTGGATGGAATTAATTAGCGGTTTATGAGGAGATGTCGATTAAAGTAAATGTTTACGGACGAAGGACGGACGAAAAGTGATCACAAAAGCTCACCATGTCACTTTGTGACAGGTGAGCTAATAAACTCAAATACACATCAAATTAATATCAGTGACAGCAGTCCGACAAAATGAAGCGAGAATATTTTATTTCGGACCGCCATTTAGCGGCGGGTAATCACGAAGAATATTTTACACGCAAAGCGCGAATCGCCAACATGTCTTTGCCGCCTTTCCTTGTTGATCTTGTTTATCATATTTTAGTACATGTTTCTAGAATTTTTGTTATTTAAGCAATATAATGTTCTTTGACGTTGACTTCCAACATTCTATTCTATTAAAGTGTGGGATAATATAAGAAATAGCACACAGAACTTCGAACTTCATAGCATTATAGCGACCTCTCAGTCAGTTCCAAACATTACAGGACCTCAGACTGATCTGTCACTATAATTATATGAGCTCCATAGGGCTGTGTTAATGTCTACCAAGGATCTTGTCTGTAAACATCAAAAGCTTATACATTTAGACTTAGTCTTCTTAATTCAAACCAAAGATAATGTTGAAAATTAAAATCGAGGATAGTTAGCAGTTTCATACAAAAAAATACAATCGGACTGTATTAACTTCTATCTTAATAGAACCAAAGCTTTTCATTTCACTCATTATTTGTTACTACATATATAATTCCTTTTTTTCATTTTTATTAAGAATGTATATAATTTGATTTTAATATTTGAAAAATGCCTATTGCCAAACATCAAAACAAAATGCTGAATATAAAAGCTTAAATAACATGAATACATTATGGAACATTAAACATAACTCGTGTAACAACATTAGTCTTCGATTGCATTTTGACAGTTATGAAACAAAAAGGACAATACGTATTTGTTTCATGCCTTTCAGTGTTTTATTGTAATATATCAGATGATTATATTCTGATAAACCACTAGTGAAATTTATAAAATATAATTTTCACTGTAGCCGGACTAAATCTGAATGCGGATGAAAAGAAAATCATAACTAACAGGAATAACAGGCAGAAAAAAATGCCGTCATGCGTAAATTTTGATTCTTTAGGAAAAGAAAGTCGATGGCATCATACATAATGTTAAAAATGTAACAAAATTAGAGAAATGTAACAGACCTATGTTTCAAAATTGATAATGTGACGTCATGATGTGATGACGTCAAAAGGGAGAATACGCGACGTTACGCGGCAAAATCAGTAAAAAAAGTACTTAAAATCACTTAAAAAGCATGAAATAAAAAGAAAATTTATTTGTTTTACATATAAGATTGAAATATATTTCATTCGTGAACACCAGCTATTATATTTTCACTCGTGGCTACGCAACTCGTGAAAATATTGCATCCGGTGTTCACTCAGTGAAATTATATTTCAATCTTACATGCAAAACAAACAAATATCCTCTATATAAAACAAATAAATATTCCCATTATAACTACCTCTAGACAGTCCTTGTACCAACTACAGTCAGCTCCAGACGGGCTAAAACACCAGTTTGGAATGACAGACGTCACGACCGGTCGTTGTGTCGTCACATTTTTTGGAGCGTCTCGTCCGCAGGTACAGTTATCGTAAACTGGCCCTAAGGAAATGAAAAACAAAGTTTATAAATTAAGAGTAATAACTAAACCAAAGCTAGCTGTCTTTCCATGCATCGCCCAAATTATTGTTAATTTTGTAATAAATTGCAGATATTCTTTTTTTTCTCAATATTTCGAGAAAGTAAAACTTAAATAGAGTCGGATATGTCGCCTTGTGAACATTTAGGAATTTTCTTCATAAATATAGGTTATTTATAATATTTATAAACACCGCTCTGTCAATGTACATGTACCTTTAACTTAAGTGGCATTTGAACTGATTGTAACAATGTTACATCAAGATTAATTATCAAAAAACAAAAAAATTCACACTGACAGATCAAATGAAGGACTGTGATGGATTCTTAAGCGCTGCACTGAGTGTCAATGAAAAAGGCTTAAATACCAAATTTGGAGTTAATCAAACTGATAGTGACCAGGTTATGCCCTGGACAAGCCTATCAAGTAAGAAAATTAACAAAGGGCAATAACTCAAAATTCATGAAGTACAGAGTACAAGTTCCTATGCACTGCACTTATTCTAAATTAGATCTATCATCCTATGAAGTTTCAAGTCAATAGCTTTCAAAGTGTAGGAGAATTGGCCTGGACAAAAATAAAGTATTATAATTTACAAACGGCAATAACTCCATATGTCACCTTCTTCAAGGTAACACAACAAATGACGTGAAAAATACAAAAAAGGGTGTAGATCGATCTATAGTTGCGTGGCTAGGTATGCTTACGATGTAACCTTTGTCAAAAATATGTTCATACAATCAAAGCACATACATGTCCGAGAAAATTCAATATATTCATTGGGTATATCAACGGGCAGAAATTTTAGCGACAAATTTCTACTGTGTTTTTTAAGTAGGTAATGTCACGGATGTATATGTAACATAAATCCGTGGTAATGTTTGAAGTAGGTAATGTTTTAATTACCATAAAAATTAAATTTATACCATCCTATTCGGATTTTATTACGGATAAGCATTTTCAAAACTTAGAAAACAAAATGTTTGACTTTTCTACAGAGCCCACGGAGAGACGTACAAAATGTAAAGATATGGTATACTTTTTTGAAAATTCCCTTTTTCTTTCAGATAGGGTAGGCCTATGATTTGAAAAGTTAATGTTATAATACTTATAAACCTCGCTGAACTTTATGTACAAATTTTTGTCTTGTCTGTTTGTAGTACAAAGGAATCCGAGCCACCCTTTTTCATATTTACTCATGTAGTTGTTTGTCAATGTATTATATAGTCTGTTACATTCATTTCATTTTACATTCATTTGAAATTGTGCAGAATAGTTTGGGTCCTACAAATCTGATCTTAGCCACAACTACCATCACAAACCGACCTCAACTGTTATTGTAAATAATACTTTTTATCTAATTTAAGGGACAAAATTTAAAATAGAAGATTTACAAGATATATCACTGTAGAAAGCTTTTTAAGATTAATATATGAATAGCATATTTCTGCAAACAACGACATATGTTATGTATTTTATTATAGTCTCATCTATACATACATACAGGAGATAAAACAATAATAAGAACAATGTAAAGCCATATGAGAGAAGGTTCTTTCTTCTTTTTTCTCATTTTGAAATTTTTACAAAACTAAAATATGTTTCCACTCTTACATAATTATCCTGTTCATTTGTAGATATTTGTATGCGATACAAAATCTTAGGTTACTAGTATTTGTCTTTTTTTAAAGTTTTTGCCAAAATTTGCCGGACTAGTAAGGCACTCATTTTAACTGTGTAATAATATAACCACAAGAAAAGAATTGATGCAAAGCATCAAAGGGCGTTCAAGCAAGAAATGCAGCAAGTGAAGATGAACTAGTAGACATTTGATGACAAGATATTCTTATAAACTTTTCAATGGTTAATCGATTTTTACCAGAATTGTATATCACTTATGAATGAGCGGACGAAAGACATTTATCAATATGAATTTTGGTAGGCATGCTATAGATTAGAATATTACTTGTTTTTTTTTTCCACAGGAACTTGAAATTTTATCAATATTTACGATAATATCCAAAATATATAGGTCAATGATATTCAAAATGTACTCCCCATATGGTATAAGTTTATTTATACTATATAGGGGGTATTTTTGGATATTATCATTAATATTGGTGATTTTTTTGAGAATTTCAAGTTCATGTGGTAGTTTCTTTTGAACATACAAAATAATAGTCAAAATCAATAGTTCTCTTACATTTTTGAAATAATAAAATACATATATAATATTATATTATAATTGTTATTTTTTATGGTCATAAATGTAATATCGTGATTATTAATAGCAACGGTTATATACAATCATTTATAATCCACCTGTGTAAGGCATGATCAACACCACACTTGTGTATTATAGTGAGTCTGGTCGTTTCCCTTTGATAATCGATCGGAAAGTAAAAGCAGTTAAATATTTTATAAAACTGAGAAGTAGAAAAAAGTAATTGTATTTTAAATACTTTGTTTGATAGATTGTTAAATTTGACTGAAAATGCTATTGACAATTGGTTATTAAAAGTAAGAGATTTATTAAATTCAATTGGTTTTGGTGAAATATGGGTTTTCCCTGCATCTGTTTGTATAGAAAGATTTACGCCTGTTCTGAAACAGAGACTAAGAGACTTATACATAGCAGAATGGTAAATAGATATTAACACGTGTCCTTCATTATATTTATCAAACAAACTTTTGAAGTTCCCTCGTATCTCATAGTATTGAATAACTTGAAATACAGACGAGCAATTGAAAGATACGTATGGGATCGCATGATTAAATGATAGAAAAGGCAAGACACCTTGAAAATCGAGAGATCAGCGAAAATGTATGCTATGTGACATGAATGACATTGAAGACAAATTCCACTTCGTTTTAACATGTAAATTATATACAGACATCAGAAAGAAGAAGTATATGAGTGACTATTATTGTAATCATGCAAGTGTTTTTAATTGAACTTTTCAATTCGACCATTAAAAATGTGCTTATCAAGCTAGCATTATATATTCTTAAGGCTTTTAGAATCAGACAATCCTTTTTAGAGAGATCATTTAGTGTATTTTTCAACATAATAGGAATAGATGATGTATTTACCAAGCTTTCTGTTTTTTATAAGGTATATGAATTCTCGCTGTTTATTATTGTGTGTAGCCGTTTTGTTTTGTGTATAATTAATGTGTTTTTCTGTCTTTTCTGTAAATATGATGATAAGTATTACGCATGATATAAATACATGTTATATTATATGTAAATGTCGATGAGCTGTTAATGTGCTTAAGACTAATAAAATTTATGTCATGTTATGTTATGTATGTCCCTTATTAGTTATTGCTATTAGCGAAGACCCCCTCTTAAGGTATCTGTTCACATTTAGTAACAATAGTAACAATATGACACTGGTTATAACCACCTCCGTGGTCGAGGGGTTAGAGTCGATGACTTCTAATCCAGTTTCCTCTCTGGCGTGGGTTCGATCCCCGGTGAATGCTTTGGTAGTTTAGCGTGGAGGAAGGTAGTCTAGTACTGGTGTAACTCTCCAGGAACGATGGTTAGGAAACTACCCGCCTATATGACTGAAATACTGTTGGGAAAGGTGTAAAATGAAACAAAACAAGAGGGCCATGATGGCCCTGAGGTCGCTCACCTGTATATAGGCCCCCCCCAACCCCCCCCAACGTTGCAGGGCCAATTTAACCCAAGGGCTTTTATTTGCACAAACTTGGTAGACACCCATAAGAAGATGATGTTTCATGCTAAACATCTAAGCTCTAGCTCATTAGGCTCTTTAAAAGAAAGATTTTTTTTAAGTTACACTATACACATATAGTTAAAAACAATGACACCCCTGGGGCCGGGCCAGTTTTGACCACAGGGCTTTTATTTGAACAAACTTTGTAGACACTTACTAGATGATGTTTCATGCTTAATATCTTAACTCTAGCTATTTGGGTTTTTCAAAGAAGATTTTAAGTTTTTGCTATACACATATAAAGAAAATCAATGACCCCCGGGGCGGGGCCAATTTTGACCCCAGGGCTTTTATTTGAACAAACTTGGTAGACACTTATTAGAACATGTTTCATGCTAAATATCTTAGCTCTAACTCTTTTGGTTCTTTAAAAGAAATTTTTTAAAGTTTTTACTATATGCATATAGGGAAAATCAATGACCCCCTGGGGCGGTGCTAATTTTGACCCCAGGGCTTTTATTTGAACAAACTAGATAAATACCTATTAGAACATGTTTGATGCTCAATATCTTAGCCATACATAGCTCTTTGAGTTCTTTAAAAGAAGATCTTTTAAGTTTTTACTATATGCATATAGGGAAAATCAATGACCCCCTGGGGCGGGGCCAATTTTGACCCCAGGGCTTTTATTTGAACAAACTTAGTAGACACCCATTAGAACATGTTTCATGCTAAATATCTTAGCTCTAGCTCTTTGGGTTCTTTAAGAGAAGATTTTTTTTAAGTTTTTACTATATGCATATAGGGAAAATCAATGACCCCCGGGGCGGGGCAATTTTGACCCCAGGGCTTTTATTTAAACAAACTTGGTAGACACTCACTAGAAAATGTTTCATGCCAAATATCTAAGCTCTAGCTCTTATGTTTTTTAAAAGAAGATATTTAAAGTTTTTT